CAATAAACTCATACACATAAAATAAAAATAATAAAATATTTTTTTTTTAAATTACCCACCTCATCAGAAAACTAAAAGAAAACTAAAGCTTATCTCTGTTGGCTCCAAAATAGCTTTATCTAACCAGATTCTAGTTTGTGCAGGAATTAAATTATTTTTTAATGCATGTGTGTATATACTGGAGATTGAACCTAGGGCATGTATTCTATGACTGAGCTCTAACTCCAGATTGCTTCATTTTCTTAACAGTGTATTGTACATACATTTTTTTTTTTCCTTAAGGACATCAGATTAACGTTAGAAAGAATATACTGTTCTCTTTTATGGTGATATTTTCAAGATACAAGAGATACTTGGGGCTACTTTATAGTAAATGTTCCTAAATTATTGTGCTATACCTATAATGTTGTACTGGTTGGAGTAACTAAATATAGTAGGAAAGTAATCTCTGGGGCTATTTTCCTTACTCCCATGATATCAAGTATTACATTTTGTCTTCTGGATATATTGGGTTGAACCAACTACAGATTGATTTTTTTTTTTTTTTTTTTTTTTTTTTTTTTTTTTTTTTGGTCTTTTTGAGACAGGGTCTCCCTATAGCCCCAGCTGGCCTGGAACTCACTGTGTAAACCAGGCTGGCCTTGAACTCACAGAGATCTGCCTGCCTCTGCCTCCAGAGTGCTGGGACTAAAGGCATGTGCCACCACACCCAGCCCAGATTAAAAATATTTTGAGGAGGGGAGTAAAACAGCAGTATAGCGATTGAAAAAAAAGAGTACAAATTTAAAAGCAATACAGCATAACACTATATTAGGTATTATAAGTAACCCAGAGGTGATTTAAAGTATGTGGGAAGGTGCAAACACTGGGTCATATTTTTAGAGTGGACTGGAGAATGTGTGGACTTTGGTATCTTTGGGGGTCCTGGACCAATCTCAGAAGGATACCAAGTGTATTTCTGCTGTCACTTTTTACTGCTGTTGCTGGGTCTGCCTGTAGCAGTCTAATCTTCAGTGAGCTAGAAAATGAAGTAAACAGGCCCATGAAAAAATATGTACTAGTCAGGCATTGTAGCACATGCCTGTAATTATAGCACTTGGGAGACTGAGGTTGGGAGATCATGAGTTCAAGCCCAGCTTAGGCTCCATAAGCAAGCCCCTTCCTCAAAAACAAAACATTAAATACAAACTTAAATATCAAAAAATGCTGGTAGTTCAAATTATTTCTGGAAAAGGTGTGTTAAAAATTGCCTCTCTTTAGAAAACATATTCTAAAATTTTAAAAAAATAAAAATTTGGGGGCTGGAGAGATGGCTCAGCAGTTAAGAGCACTGACTGCTCTTGCAGAGGAACTGGGTTCGATTCCCAACACCCACATGGCGGCTACAAACCGTCCTTAACTCCAGTTCCAGGGGAATCCAAAACCCTCTTCTGACCTCCGCGGCATTGCATGACACAGGTGCACTCACATACATGCAGGCAATACACTCATACACATAAAATAAAAATGATAAATTAAAAAAAATAAAAATAAAAAATAAAAAAATAAAAATTTTAGGTGCTGCCTGTAGGCAGGCATAAATAAATAGTGTTTGGATTTGATAAGTCCTTTTCCTTTGATTTATAAAGACATTCTGAATTTTGATGTAACTAGAAGACTTAAATACTGGGCATGACTACACTTTATGTCTAGCATGTTACTTCATAGTTCTTGGAGTTCAGTAGCTGCATAGCTGTTAGAGCCAACTAGTTTCATTGTTTAATAAGAATAAGCTTCCTACCACTGAGTACTACAGTTATAAAGGATGGACCCAGCAGAGTGTTTGTCTGTAAGGGGGTGTTGTTGAGAGAGCAAGCCTAGATGGATGGAGGAGGGTGCTGAAGTGCTCTGTAATGACCCATCCTTAAGTCAATAATAGATACTACTATAAAATGGTCAACAACAACACCTATACCCCAACCCCAAGGTGGTGGTGCAAATCAGAAACCCTGTTCCATTATCTTTCCTCATAGGGAAGTCAAAAGCTTAGCAAATTTTTGCCTCTTCCCAGCAAAAGACTTTGGTCAAAAGGGGAGGAGCACACTCTTGGCTCAGCTCATGGGAAGTGAAAACAATGAGAGAGGAAAAGTTTGTGTTAGTTGCCCAGCCCCCAAATGCTGCATAAAAGTCTTTTTGGACCCGTTTTGAGGACTGAGTCATTTTCATGCTGGAAGTGAGGGTTGAGTTCTTGGATTAATATATTGTAGTATAGCCCTTACCTAATCTTTATTTACACCAGCAGCAGACCAGATTCCTAAAGTATGATTTAGTTTTCAGATTAAGATTATTTTATATAAGAAAAAAACAACCAGATGTGGTGGCGCATGCCTGTAGTCCCAGCACTTGGGAGGCAGAAGCAGGTGGATCTCTGAGTTGAAGGCCAGCCTGGTCTACATAGTGAGTTCCAGGACAGCTGGAGCTTTAGGGCGACCCTGTTTCAGAAAGGCCAAAAAAAAAAAAATTAAAAAAAAAATAACCTAGAAGAAGCTGGGCATGGTCACACAAGTCTTTAATCCCAGAATTTGGGAGACCGAGGCAGGTGGATCTTTGTGAGATCAAGGCCACCTTGGTCTACATAGCAAGCTCCAGGCCAGCTGGGGTTACAGGGAGACCCTGTCTCAAAAACAAACACCACCTTCCCACCACACACACACCAGAAAAAGGAGAACAAATGAAAGTAAATATTAAAAGATATCATTAGCTTTAGTTTTCTCAGCACCTTTTTTTTTTTTTTTAAATAGGCTCACACCTTAACACAGAATCTGAAAGAAGACAGAAATCTGTGAGGCAGAAGCACATAGGCTCAACGTTTGACCTGGCTAACGCCAAAGGAAATAGTTGCAATAGACAGATTAGTCAGATCTGTGGAGAATCTCCAGGGTTACTTGGGACTATGCATAGGAGTGATAAATTCATTGG